CACTGTTCATTAATTAATATTCTGTCTTCTGCTGGTTATTGATTTCTCACTTCTCGTGCTAATTAGTCCGCTTTTTTTTCAGTAGAAGATAGACTACTGATTAATGAAGAGAACTAGGTAAGCCAATGGGCGCAGAATCCCAGAATATCCTGAGTCGGAAGGGACCCACCAGGATCAACCAAGTCCATCTGCTGGCCCTGCACAGCCCTAAGATCCCACCGTGGCAGGGTGATGGAACTGGACGGCCCTTAATGTCCCTTCCAACCCAAACTTTTCCACAATTCCACGATACAATTCCTCAGGCAGGCTCGCGGCCCGTGCAGGGAAGGGCCCAGAGCTGCCAGAGCAGCCTCCCGTGTGGAGAGTTTATGGCAAGATCCCAAGGATTAGTTTCACCGACATTAACAGAGACGCGGTTTAACATTTACGGCGACACAAACGCCTGGCTGGCAAAGTTTAAACGTATTCCTTTCAGCTCGTGGTGAGGTTCCCAACCTCTCCACGAAGGTGGTTCGACATCAACCACCTCACGCGCGGCGGCAAACGACCCATCCTTCATTTAATGGCTCTTCTGGCACCTGTCCAGTCAGAGAGCAAATTAAACGGCCCATTAAGCACTCAAATACTCCCATAACTAATAGATTCAAGGATGGAGTAATTCATGATCTGCTCACTTCTTTTTTTTTTTTTTTTTTGACCAGTGCTTAAAGCAGTACCGCTTGTGCTGATTTCTCCTTCAGCTGAGCTGTTCAGTCTCAGAGATACCTCAGAATTAACCAGAAATAATGATTTTGTGATTAAAGTCTCTGCTAAGTGCAGCCAGTGCTGCTTCAGTATCACGTAACCGGGGAGACGCTGTAAAATCCAATCGCGTTTCCTAAGAAACGAGCAGTTGGCATATTCCATAAATCCAAGTCCACAGCGAATATTCTTCCCCCCCCCCCCTTTTCAAACAGCACAATTTCCAGTCAGAAGGATCTCCAACTGCTTAGTCACGTAAGGAAATCTGACACCAAATGGGAGAGAGAAAGGTGACACGAAGCAGCCCAGGACTGCACATCAGCTTTTTGAGTTTTCCCTCGGTCTGTGCAAGTCACTTCTCACTTCTCCCTTAAAAAGAAAGGCCAGGGAGCAGTCGGTTGTGGGGCTGCCAACACCTCCCAGCTGGGCAGCAGGCTGCTTTTCCCTCCCTGATATCCTTGGCACACACACGGGCAGTTTCTCACGCTGCCGCAGGACTTCCCCTGCTTTTCTTCTGGCTCTTTATCCCCCATCTCTCCTGACCAAACCCACCTCGGGCTCAAGTTGGGAACTGCAAACTAAGCAGCTGATGGGAAAGGGGACAAAAAAAAGCCCTCAGTTGCCCTCAGCTGCTCTGCAGAGCCACCTGGAGCCAGAAGTGGAAGTGAAAAATCCGTCCTGTTCTAATCCCTCTCCTTGGATTCGAGAGCAGAAACCGCCTCTGGGAAACACGGACACACAGTGTCACCTAGTGGCACCATCCCCATCCCGGCCTGGCTCCCAGTGACAGCACTGGAATTCCAGTAAGAACACCGGGAATTCACCCCTCTTCTCCCTCCATCCCTTCACAGCCCTGGGGGGGGGGAAGCTGGTGGGGGAAGAGGCTGGAAAATTGGGATTGTGACCTAATTGTGGCCTTCCAGGACCTGAAGGGAATCTGCAGGAAAGGGGGAGAGAGAGAGACTGTTTCCAAGGGCCTGGAGTGCCAGGACGAGGGGGAATGGCTTCAAACTGCCAGGAGACAGGGTTAGGTGGGATATTGGGAAGAAATTCCTCCCTGGGAGGGTGGGGAGGCCCTGGCACGGGTTGCCCAGAGGAGCTGTGGCTGCCCCTGGATCCCTGGAATTGTCCCAGGCCAGGTTGGACCCACCTGGGCTAGTGGAAGGTGTCCCTGCCCATGGCAGGGGGTGGGAATGGGATGATCTTTAAGGTCCCTCCCGACCCAAACCATTCCAGGATGATTCCACGATTCCCACGAGATGAATCCAGGCTTCAGTTTTAATGCAAATGACCGAACTTTATTGAAGGGCAGCAGAACTGTTAAGAAAGCAGAATATTTTACACCTCAAGTATAGGTAAGAGCTAATTCTCTTGAGAGTACAGTACAAATAAAAGCTAATACAAAAGGGCCTCCTCCTCCTCCCCCCAGTTCAAGAATTTATTATTTGTAAAATAAACAAAGTCAAGTTTAAAAACGTTCTAAGCCTCAACGAGTCAGAAAGTGTCACTGGTTGATTCCAGAGATTTTTTTTTCTTTTTTTTTTTTTGCAATGCAGCATC